GGCGATAAAAATTTCGCAGTTCCGCACAGTTGCGATAAAAATTTCGCAGTTACGCGCAACTGCGACGCATTGATCGCAGTGCGCGTAACTGCGACGCAGTTGGTAAAAAAGAGGCGACATGGGCCATAACTGAACAAAATTGTTCTGTTTTGGGAAAAAAATTCTCATAAGCAACCAATTTTATTCTGTTCTTTGGAACCCTAAGCATTACCATTAAATTAATACTTTTCTAACACTAATACCAACGTATTAAATTATTTTTTAGCACGAATGCAAAAGCATGAAATTCATTTTTTAACTGTAACACAAAGCATAAAAAATAGTATTAATTAATGCAATGCTAATGCTAATCTGACACCCCTAGTTTTGATACCGTACAAATAAAATAGACAATAAATATATTTTAAAGGTCTCGTAGAAAATCTAAAATTTCTACCTAGATCAAGTTGATCAAGAATTACTTATTTTGCAGAATTATTCAACATTCTTGCTTGCGTATGGTATTTTACATTGAGCGATCGGATTCTATAGCGAAACAAAAAAATTTCCGAGTGTGGATGTGAACACCAGCCATCTCTTCACATCCACACTCTCTAAGAAACACAGATATAGCTTAATACATCGGAAAAGAGTGCGAATCGTTTTTTTAAATACTAAATAAATAAAGATTCTATGAAAGTTCAATAACTTTTTATCGGTACTGTACCTCAAAGTGGCCTTCGATTTTAGAAAGTTTACTTTAATTTATGACTCTAAAGATCGCCATATTTGCCCCATGGAATTACAATAAAGCCATTGAAAATGTTGTATGAGCCAAATCAACAGTTTATACGTCCTTACTATTTAGCTGTGAATAATGCACATTAAAAGGAATCGTAGAAAAATACTGAAAACACCACTATTTGTGACTAGCCCATCCAAATACATAGTACAAATATCAGAATCATATAAAGTTTTCTTGTAAAACTATATACAAGAAAAATCTATGAGCTGTTGGTTAAACAATATTAGTTAACTAGATAAGAACGAAGTAATTTGGGTCAATGGTTGATTTTCGACGATCATTGATCGACATCAATTTTATATTACCAGACGAACGCTCAAGAGCAGCTGCAAAGTACGCAGTTGTTCTATACAATACATATAAAGTATTTAATACACATGGATACCGAATGAACTCAAGATAAATTTGATCAGAAAGAATACAGACAAAATAGTCTATAATCTCTACTTTTAACAGAAATGGTTATCATCAGTATATGGGAGACAATAAAAGGGTTGAACAGTTCTTCTTTTCTCTAACACAACTAAATTGTGTACATCACTTAATCGTTTCAACAATAGCAGTCACAAACATCCATTGACCGTAAGATGCTTATAGGAAACATATTTCGAGTGAGTCTCGTCGGTCTTCGCAGGCTTTTAAAAATGTGTCGTGCTCTGCCCCTCGTGTATTACTTTTACGGCAATCTACAACTATGACGAGAATGCAACGTTTTCTCGATGATATCATGCAACATAACAACACATCTTTTTGAAATACGATAACAACGAAGTTCATGTATTACATATACGGATATGTTTTTATTTGTATCATTTCTAGAACAAAAACGGATATCAGGTTAGTTGTTATAATTGTCTATTGTTTGCTTTGAGTTGCAGAAAATAAGAGTCATGACTCGTCCATCTTCTACGCTCACCGAACCATGGGCATGCGTTCAATGGATGTGGCAGTCAAATGCGAATCCATTAGACAAGTCTCAGCCAGCTGAGTGGATTCGTTTCTCTGACGTGGAAAATCTCATCATTGAAGAAGCATTTCAGGCTAAGCAGCTTCATGTCATATTAGACAACTACTGTATAGATTTCAAACATAATACTCAAGTCTCAAAAACAGATACCAGCAAACAAAGCCCTATAAAACGAATGATCGGCAAGAGAGATTGTATTTATTTACGGCAAGAACGATTCTTAAATGATCCTGTCTCGTGCAAGCATTCCTTCGGTGGTCAATACGGTTGGATTTCGCCATTTATAAAAGAAATAAGAAAAGATCTGAAACTTGAAAAAAACCAACTACCATCACGAGACGCATCCATCGTACCGGTCATTGTTGAGAAAGCGGCCCTCGGTATCATCGAAGAAGGTAGAAAAGTAGGACGACTAAGTATAGCCAAATGGATGGCTAAAGAACTTAAGAATCAAAAAGATAAAGGTGTAAAAGAAGTTTGGAAATGCTGTGCTCATCTCTACTCGATGGAAGACTTTTTGTACAAGAAATTGAATGAGACTATGAGATTAGTAGGAAGCAACGAGCATGAAGATGTGTGGCGAAGTAAAATTCGAACGTTGGGACCTTTTTGCTTGCTCTTGTGGGATGATCCAACCAATCTAAAGGCTACGACGAAAAAAGAAAAAAAAATATTGTACCGAGGAGCTAAGCTAACTGAAACTCAAATTGACTCCTATCGTGAGTTGTGTCAACGACCCGATAAATATGGCTCATTTCAAGCGTTTACTTCGTGCAGCCGAAATCGTAATCTGGTCGACCAGTTTCCCGGTTGCAACGTGACATTCATCATGGAAATCACTTTCGCTTTTACTGCGAATGTTCAAGAATTTTCTGAGTACCAAGGCGAAGAAGAAGAATTAGTATTTCCAGGCGTTTGTTTCACCGTTGAGCGTATGGAGTTTGATGAAACGAAGAAGAAATATCTGATTCATCTGAACTTAAAACAACGCTTTAATAGTATGTATGAACGATTTTATCACAATTTTCCTTTTGAGAAACAACTCCATCTCTAAATCAGATATCTTTTTTTTCAAATACAAATATCGTTGAGTTCTTGATAAGTTCTTTTATATGCTATAGCTCCTAATTTTTCTCACGAAGTAGCTAGAATGTGCTTCGTAATGTCATGTTTTGCCTCGAAATTCCAAAAATGCTAGTTAAAAATGCCTGTGTTATCCACGTATTCTTTAAATCAAGTAGTAACATTTGAAAAAATATATAAAGAATCGTTAAAAGTCCATCGAAATTTATAAATCCATCCTAAGAATTTTGAAACACTCTCACATATTGCTGTATGAACTCCTGACATTATTTTGAGAAAACTCGAAATTATAGCCATATTTTCTTGTGCAAATTTTATTTCGTGAACTATCGTCAACCATTGCAAAACTGGTGCTTGATGATTCCGACAGCTCTGTAAGTATATGTTACCAGACCTCCTTATTACGAAAATTAGCAGCTAATTATACTAACATTTAGAAAAGAGAGAGACATTAGAGAGATATAAGAGCATATTGAGCGAACAGCGGATATCTTGAAACGGTTTCACATCATTTTTCTAGATGAATATCAGAAAGAGTGCAGAGTAAAAATCTGCTCAGACGATATGCACTCATGCTAACAATAGAACAGCAGGGATCGACGAAAAGATAATGGTAGACAACATAAGGGCAAGTTAGAAGGAAGATACTCCCGTGAACTACATGTACACATTTGCAGAAGAAAAGAGAAAGTGAGAAGAACGACGAGGACAAGGTAGAGTAAGTGATGGTGCATGACTTGATGAAGAGAGAAAACCTTAACGGGATCCCAATATTGCTATGCAATGCATGAATAATTGTAACTTGAAAATTATTGAAGTACTGCTGAAGAATACTCTATGAAATCCGGTATGAGTGTGGATTTATGTAAGATGTGCGTATCAGTCATTTCTTTACATTCATACCCATATCTATACTTGCAATGGCGTACTCTCTCCATTTGTGTAATCAAAACTAATTATATTAAAGAGATAGGAGAGGATCTGGTTTCAAGATTCTGATTTCGACATGTCACAGAGTAAACTAAAAACGACCACAACAAGGTCTTGTATCAGTACTTAGTGCGATGTTGAAAATTTCTGCTAAATCATGATGTTCAAGACGTAGCGAAGCGATGCAATTTTTTTTCTCGAATAATATCGAGCAACTAACAAATGGTTGAAACAAAAGCGTATCAGATGTACTACACATGCGTAAATCGCGAAAGCTGAGATACGAAGATTTGCAAATATTCTCCTAAGTGATCGTTTCGCTTTGGACTTCACAATATCTAAATACTAGTAGAACGCGCATAAAAATTGAGATAAAAAAGCTACATTTCCTAATTAACTATCAAATGCATGCATAGCATTGAAGGCTCAACAAAGTACGTGTAAAATGAATCCTCCACCATTACACACAGACAAGAATCACCAAAAAGAGCTGCTCTTCTATAAATCTCGCCGATACTCTTACAAAAATCAACCAGAACAACGACTGATTTGAGAGAAAAACTAATCACAAAAGCTGAAAACATTTAATATTGCTTTAATCTGAAAAATCTATACAAATGATTACCGAAAGACCGAACTCATCATTTTCTAATGATGGACTTTCTGAATATTTTTTTTTAAATTTCAGAATCTGCTGTACATGAAGCATTGATTAATCGCAATAAAATGTCGATAGACAATGATTCTTATCGTGAAGCTTATTATGCTGCTCGTCGCACTTCTATTGCTGCTGCTTCTATCGATACAGGTTATCTTGATCGTGACATTTACGTTCGTGATTATAATATTGATGAATAAAAAGGAATGTATTGAATTGAATGAACTACTCACTGATGAATTCTATGATATCTCGATATTTTCTTTCCACTATCTGAGACAGCATTCGTCTCCTTTTTTTGCTATGAGGGCAACAGTAGTCCTCTAAAAAATATTCCTTGTAGCGATAATAATGCCTTTTTCAGATCAGCATTCTGTTTACACAAAATGAAACAATATTTCATCCGTAACACTTTCTGTTCTTGGCAGCCGCAAAGATGAATCATCAATACGGTGCTATCTTTCTATGATATAATATATTGTTAGATTCTTAGCTTTAAATGAATTGATAAATTTCAAAAACTAATCTAATGTCATTTTATCGTAGTTTTCTTCATGAATACTCTCTCAAGACTGAGAATTGTTGCAATTTGGTTTAATTATTCATCAATATGATGTACAGTTGCTAGACTCAAAAATAAATGATGCGGTTTTATAAAGACTTTTCTCATTAGCTTCGTGCTAGTACTCAAGTAGCCTGAAAAGATACGTTGCACAAGAGTGCATCTCCTTGACTACCATTTTCAGTATTTTCGGTGAAATTATCGTAATAGAGCTTCCTAAATCAATATGTTATCTTAATCTGACCATATTCCTAGTAACCATGTGGGGTGGATTATTTTGACATTTCGATGGAACAAACATCACCTGACCTCCATGTACGCTGTATTATTCGCACTACAGACCAAGATACCATTATGATTCTCGAATATAAAATACAGCAACTAAAACAAGCATATCTACTTTCTTGTCGCACAACAAATACTATTCCATGGCAACAGTGTTCAGCCCATTCCAACTGTTACAGACCACACGCTTGCGAATGGTGCATCGATGATAACCTCACGATAGTGTTCTTGAAGAATGTCAGACATCGGCCAAACTTTATCTCACAGCGAAGTTTCTCTAGAGAACGTGTGCATTTCATCCGGATTCTTGTACAGTACTATTAGATGAAAGGTTTTAAATGACTGAGGAATTATTGGTAGCTATTCATGTTTATCAATGGTTATATTTGGGTGATAACATTGATTGACATAAATTTGAATAATTAATATTTTCTCACGAGGACAGCAACTAGATAGAAAAGTAGCAAGGTCCTTCTTGGAACAAGTTTCATTCGGTTTTAGAATCACTTGAGTGATCGAACTTGAAATCGATACGAGGGATTTTTCGCATTATATAATGAGAAGAATTGATGGTACAATTTCGATATTGGCTAAAAGTTGATTTCTCAAGTGGCATCGATCTAATCGGCATTGGCCCAGTGCTAAGACTTTTTCTTGAACCTAAGCGATGGTTTCACGATAGTCAACTTCATTGCAGGCATATACACCAAGATAGATATAATCCAAGTGATACACAGGCAGACCGTTTAAGAGATGAACTACTTCTTGTAGTGAGAAATTACTGATGGTTAATTCTCGAAGACCCAGAAAGTGTGATGTTTGAATCGATTGAAGATCGACATGTTATGAATAGCAATCGATTAAATGATTGAGGCTATTGTTTAAACCACAAAATGATAAATAGATTTCATTTGAATAGAGATAAACGAACAGTTCAAGAAAAATATCATTGCTGAAATTCTCAAATGAACTCCGAGAATAATTTTCTAACCTGTTCACACCAGATTTCAACGATTTCGTCAGTATCAATCCTATTTGATACAATATGACTCAAGCTAAAAATGCACACTTGATTCAAATACATTCAGCAGATAAATGAATCATCGAAAAAGGTCACATTAACGAATATTTTTTTCTTTTCTTCTTGCATCGTAATCAACGTAAGAATACAAAAATCCGAGAGAAAAAAAACAACTAATTACGTTTACTTTAAAAGAAATGTTTTCTCTCGTTCTTTTGCAGCGTATCACTTGCAACGAACAGTGACAATTCAAGTAGCTGAATAAAGTATAAGATTATTCGTAAAAAATGCTCAAATATATGTTCCCACCAACACGTGGCACAGATATTAAATACAACGATAGTTTTGCTATTGAAGACGAAAATGACTAATGAGGAGAAAGGACGTCAAAAGAGATGAAGCTATTGCCTAATAATTTTATCTTTTTTGAAAACACTGTTGCAGATGAATTTGTATTGAATTTTTTTCGGTCATTAATAACTTTCATTAGTTTTGATAAAATTTATCTATCGAGAATAATTGGAATCTAGTGGATTCAAATATTCGAGTATTTCTTAGATAAACAAATACTTTTTGGTTGTTTGAAACTTTGCCTAATAAAGTTGTTTATCTCCCATATAGTTCAACTTGAATTTGACAGATTTTATCGATCTCTCGTGCTCGAATTCATTTTAGTAGAAGCATATGACTGCAAGGAAGAGTAAAATATTTGCCAAAAACAGAATCAGAGTGAGACAAATAGAGACCCAGAATGACAGATCACAAGTAATATGGCAAAAGTGTAAGAAAGGAAACAAGAACTGATCTTATGGCTATGACGTACATTATATGTCTTTTTCCATTTCCAATGAAAAAATTTCATTGAAGTGGATAAATCAAAAAAGAATCGAGTGTCACAAGAAACTGTGGCCTATTCAACTTAGAGCCATGCTCTGACTTATGCCAGTTAGATATTTTGGATTTGAAAAGACGACAAATGAATTGTATCTGAGGCACACACATTCTTACAGACCAATTGTCAATTTCAAATGGTTATGCTAATAAAGAAAAATTACTTATAAAAGCCTTACCAGATGAATTCGTTTTTATATGATTACTCCACTAACTCACTTCATGAACTTATTCACAGTGATAGATATCTATTTTTCCATAGCAACTGTTCCGAGTGAAATTCATTTCTATCACCCACAGAACCAAACAACAATCCAAATAGAATCATTTTTCTCGATTGTTGACCCCTTTATAACAATTGTAGACTAAATTATTTTTCAGTCAAAAATCTCGATTTGCTACAGTGTAGTGCGACCAGCAATTAGTTTTAGTGATACTTTCGAATCTCTTATCAACAGTGTGATAGTTGATTTCTCATAATCAGCGTCGCTTAGTGGTTAGAACGAACAAAACGATAATGCTGAAGTTTCTATCACTTACTTGAATTATCTGGTCGACAAAGCCTCCGCCGAAAGCAAAAAAGTTAAAGATTTTCAGCAGCCTCTAGAACAAAAATAGACACTCAATTTTCGAAAACTGCTAATGTATTTAGCATGCGTGTCTAAGCTTGACTTAGTGTTGTACCTACCAATCATTGAGTCATGAAGTTCGAAAAAGCACTTCAAATTTTCAGTTTTTGTATTGAAAATTGAAAGAAGCACGTGTTATGGTTATCGTTATTCAAATCGATTATAAACCGCATAATTTGATTAAAATCAGAATTATTTCATTTTTTGTCACATGAGTTGTCTGGTTTATTCTGAGTCGGTTTTCTATTATCGTATTCTTTCTATTCCATTTGGATAGTAGTAAAATTTGCTTCATCGCACTCCTTGAAAAGATTTTTAATGGATAGACGCACTTAAATCATTCATGAGATCCTACACCAAGCCATTTCATTTACCAACTTTTTGATAAAAAAGTCAAATGTTATTTGAATGGTTCCATTCATAGCCTGTAATTGAATGACTTAGAGTAGCCTAAAATAGATTGATCTACACAATATTTGATGCTTTTATACAAAAGTTTTTAAAGAAAGTGGCTTGACGTAGGATATTATTAGTACCGAAGATTTTCTATGTAGTCAACTCTAAAATCATGTAATGAATTCCAATTTAACTTGTTTCGATAGAATAAAACAAATTTTCTTTGTTCTTAAAAACAAAATATGACAAAATCTTTCTTAGCACAAGATAAGTGTACAAATAATTTCATCAGTAAAAGCTTGACAAATACTAACGACGGAATACAATACAGAAAAATCTAAATCACGATTTCTACTTTATACCTACCAATAATACAAAACTCAACTGCTAAACAGAAAAATTATTTCTGTCGGTCTCCACCACCTAAGAACACTTGACTCTTGAATAACTATGTCACTGGAGCATCCTCTCGTAGAGACTTAATGAAGCTATACGAGATACAGAAAATAACTATTTTTTTCCCAATAATCTATCGTTCGCCATATGCTATCTAGATGTCAAGAAACGGATTCGATTTGCCTTTTTGTCATTTAAAGGATGAATCATTATGGAAAAATCTATTTTTTCCATGTGAATAATTCCGATTTTATACTTAGACCCAAATCTTTGCAACACTGTATAGAAACATATCTCGATGAGAGCTTAAAAACGTAATCGATAGTACGAAATTGACGATTAACTAAACAAGTTAGCTTTGAACATTTATTGTTTACAGAGATTTCACATCTTTCAAAAAGGAAACTGTACATTGCTTGAATATGCCTGCATTTATTGTTTGAATGTGCAAGATTCGTTTGACAACAGGTCATATGACTGTTGTAACGGTTTGTACTATTATTACTGATCAAGTGAGTATTGCTGTCGAAGATAGTTTGTTCGCTGATAGAACTTAATTCAGATAGCAAAACAAATGTGTGTGGAATCATAGTTTTATTTTGAATTTTCCAATCAATCAAAATAAGAAACGCAATACAATATGGTTCAAGTAATGGATAAGAGACCTATTACATAGATAGACTTTTTAAAACAAATTTTGTGATTGTAGACCATATCTTTTCAATCTAGGAAATGGACTGGTTTACTGCTGCTGTTCTTTGCGAATAACATCGTTTGACATTGACACTTCGTGCACGCATAAGACCATCGAGTTCAACTCGTAAATCACCGATCTGCTTGAGTGTAGACGTGTCAAGATCAATACATCGCCGGCCGTCATTGTACATCAATACGAGCGTACGACTCCGCAGTTCTTCAATGCGTTTGCTGTTTTCATAGATATTGGTCAGACGTTCCATTGTTACGAAATCAAAATATTTTGAATTTGTAAATCTTCTAAAAGAATCCATTAGTAAGAGA